ATTAAGTAAATCATGACTCAGAAGAAGGAAATGTTGTTTTTTTCAAATTTCAAATCTGAATGTCTTTTAAAGCTTTCATTGAGATATTTCAATGAATTGAAATTTTTCATAGGGTCTTCATCAAATAATAATATTAGGTAAAATATGTTACTCTTCAAGAAATTTTAATTATCTGTGTGCGCAGATTTTTCAATTTAATTTATCAAATCCATTTTAACATATATCAGATAATGAGATCTAAGATTTTCGCGAGTATTCATTTAAATGAGTGATCACAGTTGCTGTAAAGTAGCCGAAACGTCGAGAGTATGTAGTTTATAGTCAAAAATAAAAAAACGCTTAGTAAATCCGAAAATATTAGTTTCATTTAAATAAATCAGATAATCTATGTGATACAAAGTCACATTACCAGGTTTCTATGACCTATCTATAAATCTCTGTTGTATTTCTATCTAGAAGTACTCATATTTACAAACAACAAGACCATTAAAATGTATTAAAATGGACCAATTTAAGTTTTTTACTTAAAGTATGCAATTAAACATATTTTAAAATAATGAACAGGCTTCAATGTTACAATTATGAACTCTTAAGTAGGAAGTTGTATAAATTAACACAATTCTCACATGATTTAGAACCAATTGTATTCAGTTACCGCTAAATTATTTACTGCTGGGAAACCCTATAAATATTTATTTATTAACAACATTAATTTAACGACTAAAAACATAAAAGAAAACAAGATCTCTCTTTGAAAAAATATGACTGAAAGAAAATCGCAAATGATATTATATCCGTAAATTTCTTTTTATTATTATAGCATTCGTCAACATGACAATTAATAGGTACAGGATATAATTCATAACAAAATTCCGCTCAGTTACCGGTGAAATATTAATATATAATATTTTTTTAAAGTCACACTATTTGTCAACTTCTTCCTGACAATTTATCAGCTTTAGCCAGGGTCTTCTGTAGTCATACTATTTGTATCTATTTGAATCCGATATACAAGGTCACTCGGATGAATTCCTGCGTAGAACCTTATATGTGATTTTCTTATCAGTAACATTCGTAATAATAGAAGACGGTTTTAGTAAGATTTCCAATGTTTTACAAACAGGACTGAAAAACTAGGCTCGAAAAAAAACGCTTAGCCGTGTTGTACAAGTAATGAATATACTGTGACATGCACCTTTGCATTTTTTTCTATTTTCTCTCCCAAAACAATCTCGGTGCAAGTTCAGTCTTCAAGTTTTTGGTACCGGACTGTTTTTCGGACAAGAATTACGTATGATGACCCTAAAGTTGAAATTAGTGGTACAATCTAATTATTAAATACTGTTTTCCATTCTACTATACGAGTATTGTAAAAGCGAAGTATTGTTCAACTAGTTCGATTTAGTTGACATTTTTTTTTAAGTCTATATTTGATAATAAAGTATTTTATATGAAGAAAATTATCAACAAATATATACAACTATATAATATAACAACCACTGATAGACGGTGAAGGAAAACATCGTGAGGAAACATGGACTTATATAATTTCAACAAAAATTATAAGTTTGAAATCACCAAACCGTCTTGTGCAAGCGTGGTTATTATCGCTCAAACCTTCTCCCTGAGAGAAAGAGGCCTTGCTCAGTAGTGGGCTCCGATAGGTATATATATATATATATGTATAACCTATATAATATAACCTATGTAATAAATCAAACAAGTTATTTAAAAAAACATTATGTTTATGTCTTATAAAGTTAACTGTATTTTATTAGTGCATCAAAAACTCAGATATTTTTATTACAAACGGATTTACTTTAACGGATATATTATTTAATTCCAAACAAATAAAGATTACATTCAAAGTAACCCGGTACGCGGTACTTTTTGTGGCATAACATAAATTAAATAAATGTTTTATTTTATATCTTTATAAATAGAAATATAGTCTTTTCTTAATTTAAAATAAAAATAGATGGTCTTTTGATTAATAATTTGCAAAATTCTTTTCAGATTAAAAGTCTAGCAACTACGTTCTGCACGGAATGGTTGTTTTTCGTCAGCTTTATATTGCTTTATATTTTTCCACCCCTGTTGAATAATATTGGTAAGTAAATCAAGACATAATATTTATAAAAGTGCTATAATTTTTACTCTTAATAACTGTATTCTTCGTTAAAATTATTTCTCTTCTATTGAAATGTATGCGTATTTTTATTATACCCTGGTCTGATAGTTGAAGCAACAAGTTTATTTTCACATCATGAACCATTAGTCTTACTAAGTCGTGGGCATTATTTGGTTTGAATCTTCCCAGTACATACGCAATGACTCAAGAATGTGAGTGTATATCAGTGTACAGAATTATAATTCTGCTTCTCCGGAACTTATCATCTCTCCACATCTATGACTTTTTAGTTCGTTAGAATTAGGTTATGGCTTTGAAACCATATATGGCAAGATTGTCCATAAATTAAAGCTAATTTACTGAATTGATAATGGAATAACTATTATAATTTCAATTTGACTGGGTCTGATATCTAAGAATAAAATAGGGGATAACATATTATAACTGTCATGAAAATATTAATTATGAAAGAAATAAAATTACATATTCTTATCCAATAATTTTGTTCGCAGGACTCGGGCTAATATTTTTCATATTTTCCGGATTTTCTTTCGCATCTAGTCTATTTAGCTTCATGTATGTACCCGAGACGAAAGGTATAGAAGTTGATGAAATACAAAGAAGATTTTTGAAGATAAAATGACGATTTATAATATTAAATAATATTATAATATAAGTGAATAGTGAACTAAACTCGACTAAAAATAAGTAACATAAAATGTTTGATTGAATCTCTTGTTTGATTATTAACTAGGATTTATAATGTAATATAATTAAGTTGAAAATAGTACTAATATTAGATTTATTATAAAAATATAATATTTAATACAAATAAGAAAAAAGCGGACAGTATTAGACACAAGTGTGTTCAGTCAGTCTAAGTCACAAGTAACTTTTCTTAGTTAAGTTCATAATTTTACTAATAGTAATGACCAAGACAATTTAGAATCTTCTTATGTAAATGTATAGCTTTAATAAATATTTTATTAAAATGTCCTTTTTCATTTCTCAACTGCCACAAAACGATTGTTAATTATTTTATTAAATTGGCTTGATAGTCTATCTCTGCAATTATATTGCTATATATTTGTTAAATATTTTATGCGTTTAATATTTTATATATGATATTTTTGTTCCTATTTATCAACCCTAATAAAATGCTTTGCTGGTTTTGAATCAACTGAACTGTTTTATTTCAATTACTCATTCGTTCCTTCAACAGATTATACATTCATTTACTTAGGAATGACCATAGATAGCGCTGCTGGACATAATATGTGAATTTTTGTTACAATTATTTAACACCCTGACCTAACAAAATAAACTAAATTTCAAAAAACAAAAGTATACAGTAGTTGTAATCAAATATACTACACTTTATATGTAACTACACTTTAGAAATACCCATTAAACTTAAAAACTTGTAATGTTTATCTTTACATACACTTTTGGTCAATATATCAGCTGGCATATTATTTGTTGACACATATTCAATTTTAACTTTATTTTCTAAAACACATTCTCTTACATAGTGGTGTCTAATATCTATATGTTTAGTGCGCTTGTTGTGAAACAATGAATTAGAAGCTAATTTAATCGAGCTTTGGTTATCACTATACAAATGCAGTGGCATATCTATATATTGTATAAGCTCTTTTAGTAAGTTCATTAAATAAATGCCTTCCTTACAAGATTCAGATAAGGCCATGTATTCTGCTTCTGTACTAGATAGTGCTACAGTTTTCTGTTTCTTAGATTCATAGGACACTACAGAATTTGACATTAGAAAGCAAAATCCAGTATATGACCTTCTATCAAGTGAACAAGAAGCCCAATCTGCATCTACAAAGCCATGCATATTACAATTGGTTTTCTTATATACAAGACCATAATCTCTAGTACCTTTCAAATACTTTAATAAACGTTTTAAATGCTTCCAATGTGTTTCATTGAAACAATTATTGTATTGACTTAAGAAGCTTACACTAAATGCAATGTCCGGTCTGGTAAGTACTGACAAATACATTAAACTACCTATTAATTGTTGGTATGGATAATTTTTATTCAAATTATTATTCATATTCTTTTCCAGCTTCAAATTAATTTCCATAGGAGTATCACAAGATGAGCAATCTGACATATTAAATCTCTTAAGAATAATATCTATATACTGCTTCTGGTCTACAGTAATACTGTCTTTGTACACATTTATATTCATACCGAGACACTGTTTCAACTGACCTAAATCTTTGATCCTAAATTTTTCAACTAACTCATTTAGTAATAGTGTATATTCATTCTGACAATTAAAGAAAACAAAAAAAATCATCCACAAACAGAGCAATATATACTTTAACACTTTTATAACTTTTTATAAAAAGACAAGGTTCATAATCAGATTTTCTATAGCCTAACTTTAACAAACAATCCTCAACTCTAACATACCAAGCACGTGCTGATTGTTTTAGACCATAAATTGCTCTTTTGAGCCTTAGAACTTTGTTATTACAATTATTAAATTCTGAACATTCTGGTACTTCCATGTACACAGTTTCTTTTAAAACTCCATTTAGAAAGGCTGTTGGAACATCAAGATGGTTCATACATAAATCTAATTGAACACTTAAAGCTAATAACAATCTAAATGTAGAATATCTTAAAACTGGTGAAAAAGTTTCATCAAAGTCAATACCCTTTTTCTGGGTAAAACCTTTGGCCACAAGCCTGGCCCTGTAGCGCACTTCACCATCACTGTTAAGTTTCTTTTTAAACACCCACTTAGCTTTGACCACAGTTTTGTCTTTTGGCCTATCCACAAGCTCCCAAGTGTCATTATCACTAAAAGATTTTAACTCTTCCCTTATTGCACACTGCCATTGTTCTTTTTCTGAACTATTTAACACATCACTAATAGTGAGCTCTTCACCCGCTATTTCCACACACATGCTTGCAACATTATAATAGTCTGGTTTGCGTCTCACACGTTTTTCAGGCAAATTAGTGTCACATTGCGTGGGGAGGACATCCAGGTCATCTGGTGATAAAGTATCACAGTAACTATCATCAGTGTCATTAGAAGATTCATTCGGTATGAATGTCTCATCCATCGGGTTGTCACTGGTATCCTGTTCCTCACTAACAGAGTCGTGTTCCTCTTCTGCTTCTTTGGGTGGTCTGCTGTCATCAATAGTGATGGTTGTCGCGGAGCTGTCATCTGTGTTCTCCATGACCACGACATCTCTGGCTGTAATAACATCTCGTGCTTCTGGATCATATAAACGATAGCCCTTGATACTCTCAGAATACCCAACTAGGAACATCTTCTTCGCTTTCTTGTCCCATTTCTTGCGTTTTTCTTTAGGGACATGTACCATGACTGGGCTGCCAAATACACGCAGATGATCCAACTTTGGCTTTCTGCCCGTCCATATTTCATAAGGAGTTGTCTTGTGACCGATACCTGCAGCTGGTACACGATTTAGTATGTACACTGTCGTATGTACGGCCTCTGCCCACAGGTTCTTCTGAAATTGAGCATCAAATAGGAGACAGCGAGCTTTTTCAACTATGGATCTGTTATATCGTTCACACAATCCATTCTGCTCCGGGGTGTAACTATTTGTTTTCTCATGTACTATGCCACACTGCCTTAAGTAGTTCTCCATTTCCTTTGAACAGAATTCACCTCCATTATCAGACCTTAGGATTTTAATCCGTTTTGACTGTTGAGTCTCCACAAACTGTTTATATTGTTTGAAATATTTGAAGGTTTCATTCTTCTCTCGTAGAAAATAGACAGTGCACATCCTGCTATAGTCATCGACAAATAATAAGAAGTATCTAGCTTTACCTAGTGACACGATCTCCATTGGTCCACATAAGTCTGTATGGACCAAATCCAGGACTCCTCTACTCTTGGTTGCACTGTGAGGAAATGGAAGTCTTGTTTGTTTCCCTTCACAGCAAACTGTGCAACTATTCTTGCTGATGTCACACTTGTCACTGTAGCTAACACCTTCAACTGCTCCATTCTTCAATTTCTGCATATCAGTGGCATTTAAATGTGCAAGTCGCCTGTGCCATGTTGAGCTTGATACATTCACTGATTCTGCAAATGTCACCTCAGTTTTCACATGTAATTTGTATACACCATTTTCCAATGTAGCTACACCAATACATTCATTCTGTAAGTTGTATATTGAACATCCATTTTGGTGAAATTCAACTTTATTCCCGTTGGCAATTATTCTACTCACTGATAGTAAATTAGTCGTCAGGTTAGGTACATACAAAACATTGTTCACGATTATGTTGTGGTTCTGATTACCGACACACGTCGTAATCTCCAAATCCCCTGAACATTCAACAGGCACTATCGTTTTATTCGCCACGATAATCTCCTTAATCTTCGGTTGAAAACAAATATTTGACAGCAAATTCTTGTTGGAAACCAAATGAGTACTTGCGCCGGAATCCAAGTGCCAGTCGGTTTGACTAAATCCTTTTGTGAGAAATACACTAAATGCATTCGTTTTTACTTTTTCTGTGTGAGGACATCGATTTTTAAAATGTCCAATCTGCTTGCACTTGTAACAACGAATTATTTTATTTCTCGCCGATGCACTATTATTGCCGCCATCACTGACATTGACAGTTGACGGATTCGTTCTGTTTCCGTTCATTCTATTGCCGCCGTAAGTGCCGCCGCCGCCATTTTTATGACTTTGAAAATGCCTTTTGGCAATAAATGCACCTTCCGATTTCACTTCAATACTCATATCCAACAGTTTTGTTTTAATAGCGTCCACGCTCATGTTGATACCTGAATGTTCTATTGCCATTATCATAGGTTCAAATTTCTCAGGCAATCCGGCTAACATTAACGATGCTATCCACTGGTCATTTATTTCGAAATCAGTTCCTTGCAATTTCTGTGCGGTTTCCATAAGCTGGCTGACATAGCTGGTCATTGAATCGCAGTCTTCTAGGCGTATACTGATGAGGTTTCTAAGCAAACTGATTCTACGTGAATATCCAGAATCGTCGAACATATTCTTCAAGGTTCTCCATAATTCATATGTCGTTGCACATTGCTTTATATGGACATATAAAGATGCGTCGATTGTTAGCACTAGTTTTGCTTTTGCCTTCATATCGTCTGCTTTCTGAATCGATGTAGCCGTTTCTGCTAATGGCGCCTTGATAGCGTCCGCCATGCCTTCGAGTACTAGCACATTTTCCGCCGCGAAGCACCAGTCGTCATAATTTTCACGACCTTTCAACTTCGGTATATTTGCTAAATAGTTCGTCGACATTTTTAATACTAACTGCACGGATAGATCAATTAAAACTTATTTTTTTTGCGAACGCTGGGCCCATAACCTAATAAAATGCTTTGCTGGTTTTGAATCAACTGAACTGTTTTATTTCAATTACTCATTCGTTCCTTCAACAGATTATACATTCATTTACTTAGGAATGACCATAGATAGCGCTGCTGGACATAATATGTGAATTTTTGTTACAATTATTTAACAAACCCGACTTCAAAAGAGACACAAAATTTTTTCGAATTAATTTAACGAAATGATTGCTCACCCTAGTTCGGTAAACATTGATTTTAAATATTTACATTTAATTACATATGTACTTGAATAGAATTATATGTTTACTGAATATGAATCCACTAGATAATAAATATACACGAATAATAAATAATTGTCCTAATGTTTATATATGTCGTTTAAAAAGCTGAAATATGTGTTAAAAATAGCAAAGTAAATAGGTAAATTCTTAAGACACAGTTCAACAATTTAATTCTATACATAATCAATAAGAAATTAAGTTAAAAACTAAACAAGCATACACAAAATGTATTGGTATTCTTAACAACAAGAGGTTTTTTCTTAAAACTACATAGTAATTATTTAACACTCTATATTAATCGAAAAGTCACAACAAATTAATCTTTTGAAACTAAGTGTAATTAAACAACTTATCAGAGCAAACGCAAATTCACTAGTCAAACGGGCAGAGCGTTCGCTAATAGTTATTCGTGGTAATAATGTGTTTACAAAATTAATGCGCCGTTGCTTATGTTGGCGATATTGATCCCCTCCACTGATCCTCAATTTTTGTCTTTGGCTAACGGTACGATAAAATAAATTATTATTAGATTGCAAGTATGGCAGCAATACAAAAAAACGTTAAAGGCCTAAATGTTATTGTTCCTCAAAAATTTGCGTATGAAATATACTTATTAAATGTATAGGAATAGGGTATTCATGGAAAATGATGAGTGATAATGTGGTATCAATGAATGAGACAGAAGTCATATTATATTATAAAGAAAAAATATTCCGTCAAAATTAAATATATCAAGAAAACTTAACAAAGCTAGTACTACGTTCAACGTAGGGAGAATTTATCTGATTATATCTTAGACTATTTTTAAGAATCAAGGCAACAATTCTATTGATACCGTTTTAATCAATTTTATTAATGGTCGTTGATAGATACGATTTATGTACTGCACATCGTGTGATAAATATCTCTAGCGTCTCAATTAGGAAACGAAGTACCGTTGAGCATCATTAATTTTCCTCTCTGTTAGTACTGCTCATATGTGCAATAGAAAACGGAATAATCATCGAAAAGGTTTACAAAGAAAATTGTGTATACAATTGATTAAACTGATGGCAAGAAATGCAAATATTAGAAACTGATATCTTTTTAATGTAACTACAGTTGTAAGAATATTATAAATATTTTTTCACCTTTCTTACAGGAAGATATATGACCTATATTTAATGGATAATTTTCTTTTGATTCTGAAAACCATAAAAATAATTTTGTTGCTTAAAATAATTGTTCTTACAAGATCTTAACACAAGTAAGTGCTATGTCATTATGAAATAAACATTCGGGATATATTTTTTCCCAATAAGATAAGGTAAAATTGATTTCATCTTAAAGATTTTACGAAATATATCTGTCTTAATGAAGAATTGAAACACTATAGGAAAATAGGAGTTATGGTTAATGTAAAAAAACTTCAGTTTACGAAATTTTGTCAAATAACAATTTAATTAAATGAAATTACATAGTAACAGTTCTAAGTAACATTGACTATAAATTTAAATAAAAATAATATTTTCGAATATACTGCGTTTTTAATTATTTTAAACTAAAGCAAAATGTTGGGAATATGTTGTGTAAAAGAATAAAAACGCGGTATGTCCGAAAATATTAGTTTCTTTTAAATATTCGCAAAATTCTTCAATATCATTATGATATAAAAGTATTTACAAAATATTCAAACAAATTAAAATGTATAACAAATAATAATAAATTTAAAACGAAAAAACTTACAATAACATATAACTACATATTAACACTTATTTCTTTTACAAATAACTATCGAAGTTTTGTGCACTTTGGAAGGACATAATATGTCCTTGTTTCAGTATAATTTTAAAAAGTTTAAAGAAAATAACAAAATATATTATATATCAAATGCAAGTAGTATTTTGAGAATTATTATATATTAAAAAGTATTATTTTTTTTATTTTAATAAGGGTACATTAGTTAAAGGTCTTTGTAATGCAAAGGGTCTTCAATTTCCGATGAATAAAAACTATAAATTCTTAAAATAAAAAATGTACCCCTATTAGACTCTTAATGAATATTAATATATATTTTACATATTCATTTTCATAGTACAAATATTAAACAATTACAATAATAATCAACATGTTTGCATGTACAACTTATACTCGTAGCTAAAACAATAACTAAACAATTTAAAAAGAAAAAAATGTGTTGTTGTCTTTGGAAATAAAATTATTTTTATATAAAAAATATTAATTGATTTTTGGTTAAAATAGTTATAAAACTAAGTTACACTTAATAAGTATAATGTTACATATTTTATTAATTTTTTATCACTATTTTCTATTCCTTAAAAGCTTTAACTGTATCTCATCAATTCGTAGGCCCATAGTCTCAGGAATTAAAATACAAGTTGCTATAGCTGTCATAAATGAGCAACCGGCGAAAAGATAAAATATAGCTCCGAGACCTGGAATTTCAAACAATTTGGATTTGTTATATAAAATAAAGTTAGTCAAATAAACAATGATTTTCTTAGATACTTACCAAAAGTTGTTTCCAGAGGATTGAAGATTGAAAGCAAAATAAAGTTGCATAAAAATGACCATTCCGCACATATAACTGCTGCGAATATTCTTGTCTGAAAATTAAAAAAAAACTTTTTAGGAATTTACTTTATATATACTACTCTTTATTGCACTGTAAATTTACATGATTATTTTACATATAAAACCATTGTTCACAATGGCGGGCTTATTTCTAAAAGAAATTTCTTCCAGTAAACCCACAGCTGTAAGAGATAGTGTTACACAGCAGGTACAAATAGTGCAATATTAGATGCTCTTAATAATAAAATATAAAAAAAAAACAATTTTAATATAATACATAATATAACATTTACATAAATATCCATGATATAATAAATACTATAATAATAAATACATATATACTACATACATCATTAATTAATACTCTTTTAAGTGTTTTTTTTTTAAGTAAAATGTGAAGAAGAAAATAGTATACTAAATTTCTTAAAAGATCCCGAAAAGAAAGAGTTATAGTGTTCGTTTAAAACTCATTCATTATGATAATGTCAAGATTTAATACGAAGTATACCTTACCTCAGGTAAAAAGAGTTCGCCAGTTAGTACCGCTGGTATCGTACCAGCGCCAAGAATGTAAAAAAAGAAGTAAAAGTTCATAAATACAGCAGTCAACCAGCTTGGACCCCAGTTGAAATGCATCTGGGTACCAAGAATCACACAACAAAGACCAGTCGCAGTTGCAGCATTTATAAACAAAGGCTGTAAAAAAATGTTATATTAAAATATCTTAATCATTCCAAAAAATATGAGGACCAAATGTGAAAGTAAAGTAAATTATTGCTTAATAGTTACTTACTCGTCTTCCGATTGTATCTAATAAATAAGCAGCGATTAAACTGGATACCGCTATAATAATAGCAAATAAAACCGTGGATAAAGTTGGTGACATACTCGGTACTGCGAATTGCAATAGTGGCTTTGCAAATATCTGAACCACTATCAATCCTTGAAATATTGATACTGTCTCAATAAACAACAGCTTAATCACTACACATCGAGTTGTTGGCGAATTTTCTGAAAATTTTCATGAAATTAATTAAATAATAATGAAACAACTTAATTTCCAGAAAAACCTTTTTTAGGATTTAAAATACGATTTTATTATGCTACATTTTACCCCAGGATCTATCTACCTTATGGTCACGTGCAAAAAGTAATGAGTTACTCATGTTTTTGGTATCTAATAGCCACAATAATTTTAATATATTCAAAAAAAATAAAATAATCGAATTGACGGGTAGCATATAACATATTTAAATCACGTTGTAAATCCCCGACACACAGTTTTATTTAAAATATGTAATAAACTTTAAGGATACTTGGTTAGTAGGGAACAGAAAAGAGCTATAAACATAATGAGATCTTAGATGAAACTAATATTTTTCGGATTATACTACGCTACTTTATTTTTGTAAAAACTACATACTTCCGACGTTTCGGCTACTTTACAACAATCGTGATCATGGACAGACGAGATATCCTTAATAGCATCAAGAAATATTGTCTAAATACCCTATAATAATTTTATTACTGTTACTCGTAGTTATAAAAATCGAAATAAATTTGATAATCTGTCGTTTCTCTTAGCATTCTTTTATATGTAAAATAACCATCAACTTTAAAATTCTTAATATTAATATCCTACATAACCTTAATTAATGTATATAGCTCACATATAAAATAAACTCTATGATGGAGAAAAAATTTTAAACAAGAAAATTTTTCTTTCATTTTCATTTCATATAACGTGATATAAATATTGTATCAGTATTGTAAAAATTATCTAAATATTAAAGTCCAATATACATACTTAATATCTGAATAAACGATAATTTTTCTGAAGGGACGTCTTCTTTTTTTAAACTCTGCTTTTCATCTGAGTCATCTGAAAACCAAAATATAATACATTAATATGAATTTTAGTTTAAATATATGTTACAGTAAAATTTGTCTATTTTCGTCTTAAAATTAAATAAAGTATCGGTGTGGGTATTAAAAATTTTGTAGTAATGTATTTGAATTTAACAAGAAAAAAGGAAAACGAAATGTAACGATACACGAGTATGTTATGTAAAGTTACATATCTTTTTATTTATAAAAAGATTACTTCGGAAATTAACCCTGAATAAAATATGATAAAAATTATAAGTATAGTATAGTGTTTGTATTATGGCAGTTGTGAAAAGGTGATGCCCTTACAAGAATTAAATGCAAAATCTTTTAACATATTAATTAACAATATATTTCTTTAAGGTAGCTGTTCGCTTTCCATTTATATACATTATTATTCATAGTTTTAGTTACTTGTACATAAACATTTAATTTGTTAAATTTTAATGACCACAAATATTATGTTATGTATGTACCCAATACAAATATAAAAAAGTTTTAGTTTTTTTTATAACGCTATTTTTTTTTTGGAAATAAATATATATTTATTTCCAAAAAAATAGCGTCATATATTTAATAGACATGTACGTACTATATCCACTATCAAAGTTAAGAATTCTTCTGATACTTTCAACCTCTCTTGATATTTCACTAGAATTTTTCTTCAAACCTCTATAAAACTGTATTGATTTAACAGCTTCCTGTAAAATTAAATGTCAATTAAAATATACATATATGCAAAAAAACTACCAGATTTTCATATATACTGACCTCCTCACGCTCGTTCTGTATTAAATACAAAGGGGACTCCCTTATGCAACAGATCATGCAAAGAGCAACTGCAGACATTATGAGAGATACATACGTGATGGTCTCGTACTTAAGGAAACCGCCAAAAAGGTATGATATCATAATTCCTAATTCATAAAAGATTATAGGTCCAGACATCATAGCCCCTCTAATTGATACCTCACAATATTCACTAACAAGCACCGGAATTATGAGAAACGAACAACCACTGAGGCCAGAAATAAACATTGCTAAGAGAACTGCTTCGACTTTGTTTATAGTAACGAGAATTATCCATGCGACCTGAAATATAAAGAACAGTTATTAACTATATTGGTACAAAAATAAAAAAATGTATGTATAATTTTTTATATAAATTATTTACCAATTGCGGTAAATGAAATAGGATAAGGCTCCGTTTCCTACCCAACCTATTAAGAAAGTACCAAACAAATGGTGTTATCAAAAATGAGCTTGCACTCGCAACGCTGCCCATAAATGATATTTCGGTTTGGGTCATGACTCTATCGAGTGTTGTATTCGCTGAGCTGAAGAGTTCCACAGTTGACGACGGAAGAGTATAAAGCAGACCCAAAGATGTGCATACAAAGCTTACTGTAACAAAACAAAAAATAGATTTTATATCGTGTGATATTGTAGCGCTGATAAGTTTTATTCTTACATATTCTTTAAAAAACATTTAAATTCAATTGCGTCACCAAGAAGAGGTAGCTCTTAATTAAATTGTACTTTCTTTTCTAAAATTAATATAATGCATAAAACAATATACAGTAAAAACAATATACAGTTGTCAAAGTCATGTCGCTAACAAAGACGTCTGGTTGCGGTATGTTGTCTGATGAAGCCGCATAGAGAATGAGTCTGAACAGATGTCATGTGGTTTGAGCCGAGTGCAATAACTCATGATCTTTGTTTATTTTTTATTTTATTTATTTAGGAACACCAACAATACACATATGCCACATTTACATAAAAAATACAGTCAAAAGTATAGGTCTTCATATGTACACTTATTACAGTTATTCACAGTGTTCTAAAAAGTTTTATAGCAACGATAACACCTTAATCTAACTTAATTAAATTACTGCTATAAAAAAACAACACTATTTAATAAACGACAACACATAAATTAAAAGTGAAACAGTTACAATTTTAGAGAGTAATATTTATGCAAAATATGTTTGAATTTTTGTTGAGAAGGGTAATTGGTTGTGTAGCAAGATCCGAATTCGAGTGGTCTATGGGTGTCTGCAGTCAGTGGCCGGGCGCATTTAGTTGACTAACCACCCATTAACTGTTTTTAATCATAGGGTAGCTCCATCATCCTATTGGCAGTCAGTGAACTTTACTAATATCAGAGGTCCGCACTATAATCTCTTAATATTCCACCGCAAGTTGACTGCCTGAAAACTAGTTATTTATACTTGATTTTTTAACGAAGGCTCAAATAGAATCTAGCAAAACCTGAGTATGTAAAGTACCATGTGTCTGATGGTTTTGTATATCCTACAGAACTATGATACCTTACATATTTAGGTTTCACTCTTTATTCTGGGTCAGTGACAACTGCTATCAACGAATTCGGTATCCATCCGTGGCAATACTAGATCATTTATCACCGTCAAATGTTCTTAGATTGAAAAGCACTAACATGCAGTCTATCGTTTCTAGATATATTTCCGAATCATCAAAATTATGGTGATTAAATCAGATAATTCTTGATTTTCTGGTACACGCCACATACATATGTATGTATGAGGGATAGCCCTTGAGAACAATAGTAAAGATTTCGGAGTTTGACTATACACTATATCCTTAAAATTTTGATTTGAACGAACGTTTTGGAATACGAATCAATTAAATATAACAAAATATAATTATAACTTAACAGGGCAAAATCATGAATCATTACTAAGTGCTTATTTGTAAATTATATGCGCCACTCAATGAGTTCTTTATAAATAGCATAAAATTGCTTACTTGTGCATAACGTTGTATTAAAATTGTCTATAGGTATATTCATAATTTATGTATGATCATTTATACTAATATATACATATTGTAAACACACATTAATCTTGATTTGCTCACATATGCAAGTATCCAACTTTATATTTACACTGCAGGAAAGTCCAAGGGTCAAATAATATATCCGTATATAGCCACAACATGTGATACATTGAAAAGTGGACCCATTAAAGAATACTTTACATTAATTTGTTGGAAAAAATATGATCTTCAGGATTTTTTAAAATAAATGAACTTAAATTTCAACGACGCGTAGTAATTAGGTGATAAAATATATTACGCCTTTGGCATCATAACATAAACAGTAGCATATAAATAAAAATATGCTTCCGAAATAATGCTTAGGGAGTTCTTAAAATTTTATAAAATTTATTAATTACGAGAAAACATTATGGAGTGGAATTGAAGACTTAGATGCCTCAATGAACTAAATTTTTTTTTACACAAGAAGCGAAAGTTTTATTCATTCAATATTAATGAGTAACTTAACAAATAAAAAAAAATGTTTTGAAGTTTTTAATATCGGATTAAAATTTTTCCAATAAATCGAAAAGAAATTTAATATCCTTAATAAATAAATTATTTTAGAAAATAAGCAAAAAGTCATAGTTTTCAAAATTTACGGATACATATGTATACTTTTTATATTTTTTACCTAAAACGATCGGAGTTAGCAAATATATTATTATATTCGTGCAAGTATTTCGAGTATCGTCTTTTTAATAGTAACTGTGAGTACTGCAAACAAAATAAAAAACATTTTTATTCACTATTAATCTGGTTTTAATCGAAAGAAATAAAATAAAATAACAGCGTTCATTGATATAATATTCCATATTCATGAGATATTAAATAAATTTAATGACAGTGTTATTATAAAGTTTCCATGCACAGGTATATATTTCCATTTTTATGACAAATATATAAGTACTATATATATTTTGATAAACAATATTAATGTCTACATTTTAGGAACGAAAAATAAATTTATTCGTGTTATATTTATTTGGAACAAGGTTTCGATATTATATTTTTCTTCAAATGTCTTTTATATAGTTTTTAAATAAAATTGTAATTGAAACTTAAGTAGTATCACCAAAATATACGTATTTTTATAGCTTTTTTTTCAGAACTGATTAAATATCTTCGCAGAAGTTTTTCACATTATTATATTTATCATATACATATGCGCATACGTAATGCAAAACATTTGTTTCTTGTATATTTAAAATATATCCATCAATTATTTTACCCTATATATGATTTGTTCCATTAAATTATTATCTACTTTTTGAGGTCCAAGATTTTCGCAAGTACTCATTTAAATGTGTGATCATGGTTGCTGTAAAGTAGCCGAGACATCGGGAGTATGTGGTTTATAGTCAAAAGTAAAAAATCGCGTAGTAAATCCGAAAATATTAGTTTCATTTCTTATTTTTTGTTATCGTTTATGCCAAGATAACGTTAAAGAGAATTATATTATTTCTATAACTACGCCGTTAAGGGATTTATATTTATTTTTCTTTGTTATGCTAAAGCGACATATGAAGGAAGGGTGGATTTGGCAGTGAATACCGTCGCTCACAAACATTTGGCTACATTAAAACGTACAGACATATTTGCTTAATAGAAACTTGCATCTCATGAGAACTGAGACTTATAAGTGGATTTAGCTTCTTAGGAGGCAATATTTTCCTAACTGTAAGATGATGAATCACAAATATATGTAAACAAATAAAACATATTGTTTGATATTTCTCAACTAAATTTAAAATAGTGAACGTATTTTTTCAAAGCATTTCTAATCTCAAACTACATGCTTATTTAGTTTGTTCTTGATAAGTATATTGATACTCAATTAGCAATAATTCTTACTGAGGACATTTGTTATTAACAACTTTTGTTATTACATTACATCAACATTTTGTTATTATATCTACATATACTTACCCTAAGACGCCGAAGAAATTTTAAGCTGCTTTATTTTGTACTGTATTATATTTAAAAAATGAGAATAAATCCTACATGTAAAACACAAGTTATTAAATTGAATATTAAATTTTTATACTCAAAATAAATAATTAAAAAATATCCTAAAGTTCTTTGTATTAAGATTATACGATGAAAGTCGGTGCGAAACAAGCAAAAGTAAAGAAGTATAGGTCCCAATTTTGTTCTAGTTAATAGTTTTCCAAAAAAAGATATATTTTTTGACATTATTATTCCTAAATATCTATAGAGTTTTTATAAATAACTTTAATAAACAAACAAAACTTACTCATAGCTGTACTTATTATTTGATTTAAGATTGCCATTATGTTTTTTTTATATTCCACGATTACTTAGACTACCACTTAGTTGTGCACACGCGCATGTTGCAACTCGTACTACCGAGATCTATTTGACTATGCAAAATAAATATTATTGATTGTATTAGTGCAAATCTAATTATAATAACTTTATAAAAATAACATGCCGTGAGAATTTTAAGCAGCTGTATTTTTGTTCTACATATCTTCTTCCAAATTTTCTTACTACTATTAAAACTAATAATGATTTTCATATTAATTCTATTGTAAAAAAAACTAATTGAACTAACTAATGAATGTATATCTTTTCATGTTTAGTTATCCTAGCAGTATACGTGAACCATTTCTCTTTATCATTTGGCCTCATTAATATGACTCTGCTTAATTTATTTCTATGGTCTATTGATCCTTTCATCTACAATTTTTTTGAGGATTAGTCAGACATGAGATTATGACAATATATGCTAGCTTTTTTAAAAAACTTCCTAGTCCTGTTACGAGACTTAACTTTTTAGGTCAAACGATAAAGAATTTCTATAAAAAGATCTCTCAATTTCTCTGACATATTATAGATGCTGTGATTTTTATGCAATAGAAAAACTTTCGAGAATGATGATGATGTGAACAGTATTAATTTAGTGAAAGACCTTTTGAATTATTTTTGCAGTTCGTTAAATAAATCCTAACAATCTAACTAAGTCC